TGAAAAAAAGCACTTCTCAAAATAAGCTGATTTTTGCAGCTTGGCCAAACGGGCTATAAGTCTCTCTAATATGCAGGAAAAAGTTCAACCTTTTCTTTTTTAATCTCTGTGCTATTAAATTGACACAACATATATTAGGTCGAGGGATTACTTGGTGAATGATTTGCATGAGTTTGCATTTGCATCTTTCATTATGCTTATGTTTAGACATCTCTTATGGTGAGATCTTTTCATTAATTTGTGAATATTTACTTTTAATTTCAGATACGAGGCTTGGGTCATATATAATTTTCTATCACTGTGCCTGGCATGGGTTGGCGGCCCAGGGTCTGTTGTTTTAAGTTTGAGTGGCCGAGTTCTAAAGCCAAATTGGTGTCTGATGACCTGCTGCTTTCCTCCACTTCCTTTGGATGGGTAAGTTGCGCATATGCATAAAGCTTCTTTTATTTTGTCAATTACGAGCAACTCCTTGAGGATTCTCCAGCATGAACCATTTTTAAAATTTATACATTACTCACACCTCTATGTAGGAGACTCATATTGATGGTTTATATGATTGGTTGCAGTGCGTTTCTTCACTTGAATTTGAGATGACTGAAAAATGTTTCAATGGATATTTTGAATAGTCTTGGTGCTGTTGAATTTATGATTCCCTTGATTTCTGTGACGAAATTATTATTACCTTGTTTTACATTTCAACTATGTAGGTTTCCATGTTGCAATGTAGTTAATTAATTTCATGTATTGACTTTAGGTCTCTTGTTTATTTTTTGTTTAAAACTGTATTTCTGATAATGTTCAAGAAATGCAGGCGCTTTATTCGAAGGTGCAAGCAGGGATGTTTGCAGTTTGTGATTCTCAAGCCCATATTAGTGGCAGTTACAATCATACTTTATGCAAAAGGAAAATACGAGGATGGAAATTTCAGTCCAATGCAGTCGTACCTCTACCTCACAATTATATATACTATCTCATACTCGATGGCACTTTATGCCTTGGCTTTGTTTTACGTGGCATGCAAAGATTTGCTCCGGCCATTTAATCCAGTTCCGAAGTTTATCATTATAAAATCTGTCGTATTCCTTACATACTGGCAGGTATTTTTTTTTTGCCTAATTTTGATTTGGAATCATATATTATCACTCACCTGGTTTGCTNGTTTTTTTTTCCTAATTTTGATTTGGAATCATATATTTTCACTCACCTGGTTTGCTTAGTTACATCCTATTTTTCCCTTTAGTGCTAAGTAAGCAAAATTGTTCCCTTTTTTAAAACTATTAAACTTTTTTTGCTTTCATAATTGCGGCATAATTTGGTGCTTTTATTACTAATTGATTCTGTTAACACAAAAAATATAATAATAATTTTTTATAACATTTGCCATATGGGGAAATCAGATAAAATTGGAACGATATGGAGAAGATTAGTATGGCCCCTGTGCACAAATAACTTTTTCATGATGTTGCTGTCAAGGTCAGCTTGCGCTATACCAATGTTACTTGTAGTTAATTGTTTGGTCCTAGTAGAGATTGGCAGTTATTTGACTCATTATAACAAGCTGAAGAATTGTTGTTCTTACAAGGTGCTAATTGATACACGTGGGTAAAACTGTTCTATACCTAAAATCTTTTGTTTTCTGTGAACCAGCTATATGCCTTGATCTTCATTTTTTTTTGGTTTTTGGTTCACAAGTTGAGCTATTTGTTTTTTTTGGTTCACAAGTTGAGCTAAAAAGGTGACTTGACGTAATTTTGACACACTTCAACATTTTCTCCTTTCAAGCCAAATCTAAACAGGGAGGAACAAATAGTTTTTACCTGTTTAGTTAAGATGTGGTAATTTGCTTGCTGTTGAAGTGATGCTGCCTTATTGATATATCTAAATTGGTCATATTTTTTTAATGGGGTTCAACTAGCTGAAAGATGGACTATCTTATCTTTATCTGCCTTTAATTTTTGTTATGTGATGCTGTATAACAGAGCTTTTACTGAAATAATAGCAATTGGCTGGCTCTTGTTTTTTGAATTACATTTTTGCATTGAATTATGTGTCAAGTTTTCATGATTCTTCTTAACTTCCTCTCCCAGGGTGTTCTGGTGTTTCTTGCTGCAAAATCTAGACTTATTAAAGATACCGAGGAAGCTGCTGAATTTCAGAATTTTATAATTTGTGTTGAGATGCTTATTGCAGCTTTTGCTCATCTTTATGCCTTCCCATATAAGGAATATGCTGGTGCAAACATTGGTCCTTCTCGTGGTTTTACTGCTAGCCTTGGACATGCCCTTATGCTAAATGACTTTTACCATGACACGGTCCACCAGGTAAGACAGTCACTTGCTCATTTTCCCCTGTGCTGTATTTTTACTCGTGTCCTAACAGATTCTATGTTCTACCATGGATGCAGTTCGCTCCTACTTATCATGATTATGTTCTCTATAATCATGGTGATGGTGAAGAGGGGGGTGCAACTAAGTACAGGGCAAGGACATTCGTCCCAACTGGCCCAGAGATGGATACTGTTAGGAAAAATAAGCACATATTTGGAAACAAACAGGAAGATGTACAATTATCTAGTCTCTCTCCCTCTGCTAATAACAACAATCCACAAAATCCTGGTGCAGGACACCAGACAGGGAAATCCGAAGCAATGAATTGCTCGCTGCTTATGGATGCATCAAATAATGTTTCAGCGCCCTATGACCTATCACTGATTGACGTAGACATTTCAAATTATCCATCTAAGGTACCTGCAGCCAATTCTGGGACAAGATGATAATGACATTGGATTTTCATCCGTGTGTGAATTTTTCTTTATTTTTTGTTGGGAATTAGATGTGCACTAGCGATCCAGATTGTGTTGCTATGGAGCTCAGAGTTGTAACTTAGTCTGTAAATGTAGGCAAAGCTAGTTTTCAGCCATTTCTTTTTTATTGTTTGATCCTATTTCCATATGTAGTGTAATTAGAGAAACCTCAGTTATGTTTGCACTCGAATGATTTAACTCTAGCTCATTATATATTACTCAAGGAACTTTTATTGGAGTTTGCTGGAGGTTGTGTTTATAGAAAGCCGATGTTACGCCTTCTATATTTTCCATTCACATTTTTGTTTTTTAGTTAAATATCTGAATGATTAGCTCCTATTGGTTGACTTAACAGTGTTGGTCTTGGTCATTAGATCTGTGGATGCGAACTTGTGTAGTAATGATTAGCTTCTATTGGTTGTCAACGCAAGCAATACTTAAAACTTAAAAGGGTTCTTTTATCTTAAGGAGATGAATTTTTTGAAGGTGAAATTTTGAGAATTTCTAATTCCAACAAATTCTCTTTTAAAAAACAGATGTGGATATCATTAAACAGTAAAAGAACATGGATTAAAATGTTTACTTCACCAAGTCTAAGAACTTTATTACTGCACTTTATTCATTTTAATGTTAGGCATGCCCTAATTGATACTCCCTCCGTTTAAGTTTAAATGATATACTATCCTTATTAGTCCATTTGGAAATAATTTAATTTTAAACTATTCATTTTATCCGTTTTACCCTTAATGAAAAGCTTTTATACATGACCTTACAAAACTTTTACCCCTTATCTTTTAGAACCACATATTTTAAAAGTCTTATTTTTCTTTCTTAAAGTCAAACTATAACATCTAAATTGAAACGGAGTACGTGAAAGGTGTGAGGCATGTACAAAAAACTTTTCAGAAACGTGATTAATATAAAACCTATGCCATCAGAAACATGATTAAAATAAAACATACGCCATTAGAAACATGATTAATATAAAACAAACGCCATATATATACTTGAGCGTTCTGCCCACGCCTTTTATGTGCTATTTTAATGTCTGTAAGTAGGTGCAGCCAAACACGTCTGTTGGAGGTCTCGCAACGCGTTATTACATAACACTGAATTAAGCGTTGTCCCTTTGTTTTTGTAGTTGCCATATATCAAAAATATTGTTCATCAGTTTTATATATATATATATATATATATATATATTTTATTTTATTTTCACATCTATGATGGGCCATTTTATAAGGTGGGAAATCACGAAACATTTTGGTTTTTTTAGGTGAAATAAGATAAGGGAAAAAAAACAAAAAGGGAAGGAAGGAAAAGACATATTTTAAATGTGATCGGTCATTTTTGTTTCCCTCGTTCTCTTTGTTTGACCAACAGTTTCATTCCGCGTATCTATTCAAGAGGATTTATCTGTTTTATTTATTTGGTTCTGTACAGGACTTCAAATCAAAGATATATTATTTTTGTGAAAAAAGTAAGTTAGAAGATACCACTCTAGCACGAGAAAAGATTATGAAAGTATTTTATGTATCTTCGATTGTTGTGGCGTGGTGTTTTTCTACACTTGGGACAAATAAATCACCTTGCTTTTTGGTTGAACAAAAGACTGACAAACAAATTAAACTAGCTATAACACTAGAATAAAATCATTACATGATTATCCTCCTACTTGTGATTGTTCAATTAGTCGTCGCTTGCAATATTAATGAATAACTCAAGATATCTTCTTTTTATAACTTTTAATTCGCAATCGTATGGTTCACGCTTAAGGAAGCTCTAACTTGAGATCTCAACACTCTTATTATAATTAGATTTTATTAATAGATATAATTAAGTTAATCTCAATCTTGATTCTTCAAATTAATGGCCAATGTGGATGGTAATAATTAAGGGTTGGAGGACTATGCATGAAGTGCTTGCTCAGGTTTAGGATCAACAAAACTATGATGTCTTTTAATTTAAAACACAACTGGCAACATCAAGAAAATTATGGATATTTTTATATTAAAGTAGGTGAATTTAATTGAAGAAGATATTCTTAGCAGTTGAGAACGGAACAGCATGTAGCTTATATGGTAAAATAATTATTATGGATAAATGCCGGTTTGTTTATAGTATAAAGGTGGAGATAAATTAGAAATTAATAGAAGATGAATCATTATTTTGATAGTTTTTCTCTCTTTAGCTATACTCCAATAATTTAGGGTAAGTGGCGCCTGCAATTCTTGGTGTAGAAGTAAGTAATTTGTTTGCTGTAAATACTTGTATTGGAAGACATACACAAATGTAAGGGATTCGTTACACCTATTATGATAAAATCTGAATTCTGTGATTTATTTTCATTGCTAACGTTTGACTTCTTTATTTTTCCAACCTGTCTTTCTTGAATATCTATGTGATTCGTATTAAGATAATTAATGACATTTCCTGGCGCCGCCTTATCTTTATGTAAGATTATTTTTGTAAGAAACTTAGGAGTTCAGTGGGTTTAAGGAATCCCTTTAATTGTCTCTGATTGTTCCTTAAGATTCGTCTTCTTATCATAATTGGATTATCTAAAGCTCTATGACTATGTAATTTACAATTGACTTGATAAAAGACATTTATAGGATTCAATTATGTGGTTTGGTTTATACTTTATACCGCTAATTATTTGAGATAAACTTTGTAAAACTTTATCGTATATGATATAGTTTGGGAGCTTTATGTCTGGAATTCTGCACGTAATGCTTGAGCTTTGTAAGTAAAATTTGGTTATCTAGTAAAAACTAGTATCATAAACTAAATTCGATTTTTTCTAATCTAGTAAAATTCATTTCCTGTTTAATTCTTTAACGTCTTTAGCGCAAACAATTAGGGCAATCTGGATTTGCATTATTATAATACGAGGGGAGATCTTAATTTGCTGGCATATGTACTTCGAGTTATTGAAAATAAATAACACGATATATTTATTCGTTCTTAAATCGAAAAATAAAGAATTTATCCACAAAAAACAAAGTTTAAATATAATATCAGATAAAAAAGAAACTAGAGACTTAATTTGGAAGAGTAGACCATTTATTGTCTGACAAATATAAATACTAGAAAAATCGTGTGACATCCTCAAATTGCATGCTTGAATAAATGATGAATGAAGAAAATTAAATGGGAGAAGATCCTATCATGCTTACATTACTCTTGCAATAAATCAAAACAAGGAAAATATATAATCAAATTTTTACATTTTTCCCGAAAATTCCAAAAAGGAAAAAGAAGAAAGTGCAAAATCAAGAAATCAAAAATAACTGACGTGGGTGAGTTATCCCACGTCTCAAATATAAAAAACAGATCCTAATTCCTAACTGCTTAAATTGCCAAACATGCAAAAACTAACCAAAAAAAAACCCTTCCAAGTCACGTGATTCTCTCTCCAAAACTTGATCTAATTTCTCACGACACCCACAAATTCACGTGACAACTTAAAAGCAGGGGGCAAAATATAGTAATAAAAAAAAGGGAAAACGAAGACTAATTTGATCGAAATTTTCCTTGTGTAGCACCTAAGGCACAACCTAAAGGGTAATGAAATAGACGAAAAAAATGTAATATTAGGGTTCAAATTCTAGTAAAAAAACAAAAGGTGATTTTTCATTTGTTTAAATTTTGATAAATAATATTATCAGACACTTAATAAGAGCTAAAGCAGATATCAAATCGAATTTTTGTGGAGATTCTAAGCCGATTCAAAATATGCCACCATTATTTAAAAAGAAAATCACTTGTTAAAAATTCAATGCAAAACAAAAAATAAAAGGAGAGAAAGAAAAAAAAAGTCGATTACATTTAAAATGTAGGCACATCCCCACGATGGCATTAAATTAATTAATACAGAGCATGGCCTAAAATATAGAGAGCATTCATACTCCAACTAACCCTCTCTCTTCACCTATATATCACGGCCATTATATACCACTACCCTGTAATTCTTTCTCCCACTGCAAATTAAACTCCTATTTCTCTCTCAACATATATATATACAGAAGACCAGTATATCTGTATATGTATAATATGGACAATATGGTTGTAAAACAGATATCTTATGGGGCCGTAAACATGTTCAGAACAGAAACAGGATACACTGATTTAGAAAAGAGGCAGCTTTTTTTGAGAAGCTATCAATTTAGCAGGAAGCAGAGTGTTACTGAGAAGATGAAAAATTCTTTCTTTAGAGTGAAAAGGGTGATATGGGTAAAGCTCAAATCAGCAAGAAAAATCAGAAAATTGGTTTGGTTGAGGCTCAAATATGGCATCTTTGGCTATAGAAGAAGAAGGGTTTTTCGCCGACTTCACAATTCCAGTAATAATTGTTATACTACTGGGTGTTCATCTTCTTGTTTCTGGTAGGGTGGACCTTTTTTATATATTTATTTTTAGTATTCTTTTGGTTTATTTGGGATTTATGTAGTAGTAAATTGGGTGTGTTTCTACTATAGTACTGAAGGAGAAAAAATAAATGGGAAGTTCTCTGCTGACTAATTGATTTTTCTCCAGTTACTTTTTAAGTATGTAAACATACTATATTTCATTAGTCTAGTCAAAGCTTTGATGGTATCTTAGTTCTATTTTTCTGTTCTTGACAACTTTTTGGATACTGATTCTAGTAATAAATTCAGAGTTTTATTCAGATTAGGGACTCAAGAAGTGAATAATTTGGTCTTTGGTGTGTTAGAATAATATGAGTAGATTTCATTCTTGTGTACATGTATTGTTCTATAGCAGTGTTGGTTGCTCTGGAAGATGATACTACCATTAATTATAGCAAAACAACTTGAAAGAACAAGTAGGTAAAGAATGAGAAGAATCTGAAATTTACTAAAATGCCTAACACTCTGGGGCCACAAATAATAAATGTACGTAATATTTTTTGTGGTTTACAGATCATCTGTTAATACATTAACATTAGTACAGTTTCTTTTTTGGGATGATATCACATAATTTTGACTTTTGAATGGGAAATGAAATTAGGCTGTAAACTCGTAACAGTAACCTTGCTTTAGATGCTCATTTGCATAAGGTATGTATATTTACAATTTTCCTAACCTAAAATTATTGACTTTTGTGTTTACGTTTGACTAATTTTATTTCAAGAAATTGATGGGTAGTTGTGGTGATTATTTAATCATGGATGTGGAATGTCATTCTATAGAATTGATAATTAGTTGTAAAAGCTGAAGAATCAAGAAAAGATTGATG